GAATCCTTTGTGATTCCATTGTCTGGGTCCGGGAAATCTGAAAAATCTGAAATGAAGTTCTGTTCTGAAAATTCTGTATATCTATTCTGTTCTGGTGCTATAAGCACAATGGGAGGTATAAGAGGTTAGAATCCATTGAGATTTTCGGTTCAACTCATCCAAAAGAGGGAAAATTTTTAACTACCAATTCACCCTCCCTCTTGATAGCCGTGGGACATTAACTTAGGTTTAACAACCTATTCACTAGACTCAACAATGTCAACCTTCAACGCCATCAAACTAGCCTTCAAAGTTGAGTACAAAAGTTTACAAATCAATTCTTGGAAATGTATGCTGGCTTGAGATGGATGTCCTAGGGACAAATGCACCATGCTGTTGCAAATCTATTTTCATGACTTTTGTTTTGATGATTGACAAACAATGTTGATTCTCTTGGACTGCTTGTTGCTTCTAACTTTTCAGGAATAAAAAATTGGATAAACAAACAAAGCCAGTTCAAAATTGCGTAGGTCTAGGGTTGAGTAAGTCTGTACTTTTTTTTTCTCTTATTGAGTCTATTTGTAATGGTCAAAGAGACTGATGCTAAGTAGTCCTACACACACACTTGAGATTCTTAGAATTTCTATTTTTACTCATATCGGACAGGATGATTTTTACATCATCCTAGACGATCAGGCTTAAAACAGAAAGTTTAAATAAGAATTCTTAATTAAGGCAACCGTCATTAACATATCGGCCTGGATGATACGTGTATCGGCCAGGATGATAAGCTCAAAACAAAAAGAAGTTGCCGTCATAGACAATTAAGGTATACTATATTTTTAAATTACCGGCTAGGACGATCATTGATCGGCCTAGACGATATTCACAAAATATGCCTTAATTGATCAGGAAATCAAGGGAGTAATTAAGGATGATTGATACGATCATATCGTCCGGGGGAAGCCTCTTCATGTGGTGATTTTAAAGTATGCATTCAAAGTTTTCGATCCAGGAATTTGTTTGTCACCCTACCTCCCTTCTAATTAACGAGCCTCGAACGGAGTCGAGCTCTTTTTACGCAAGGGGAGAATGATGTGGAACATTATAGCTAATAATTCTCCTTAGGAATAACTTATCTAGTTTGTTACAAGTCTCTCTAGAATATTCTATAGATGGGTTATATATGTATGCATTGTAGTAGGGAAAGCTCATTGAATGATATATTTTAGTCTTTGAAGCTTTTGGAGCTCTTCTTCTTCTTCTTCCCTAGATTGGGAAAATCAAATCCTTCTTACAGGTCGAGTCTTCCGACGATCCACTACATCACAAATCCACTTTGGTCAAACCTCATTTAAATCTCATCAAATCAACCTAGATCTTATGATGAAATATTCAATTTTAAATTAGATTAATGCTATCCATACATCATGCCTTCCAAATTTACAGATTTATATATTCATAAACATAAACACATGACTCTCTCTCTCTCTCTCTCTCTCAAAATTTAAGTTATGTGTATTAAAATTTTATAAAAGCAACTTAAATAATATCCTTGGGTTGAATCAACTCGAAAATAGATTCAACATCAATCATTTACGACTCAGGTAAAAATTTACTTGAAATCAAAATTTCAACTTTGAGATGAGCTTAGCTCACTCAATTCCACATCAATCCTACATAAAAGAAAATAATTTCTTATGAAGAAAACATCATAGGACACATTGAAGTTCTTAGAAATATCTAACTGACAATTAAATATTGATTGTCATCTAAAAGCCAATGTACATCAAATCCGCATGATGGGTAAACAAAACCATAATTTGTATAAATGAAAAGGTGAATGCTCTTTCCAACTGAGAAATGTTCTCAATGCACAACCTAATAAAAGAAAAGTACTTTTCCCTTAAGAGCACAAAAAGCTCTAAAAAAGTAAATCAAACAAGTTCAACTTTCAGATGTTTGTTATAAAGGTATAGAATCCCAAGCCAATGGCCTGGCAAGATAATTTTTTTAGCTGAAGTCAGAAGTTGGACTGCGAGTATGAGGCCTCGTTACTCCAAATGTGGTCGTCTTTTCCATCTTTTGCCATTCGTCATTTTTGAATATAGTAAGCATTGTGTATCTAGTTGACTAAAATCTTTTTGAATAACTTCAAGCTAAGTTTTTCTTTGGCTTACTCGTTTACTTTCCAACTCCTCCCATATTAATTATATCACAAAAAGGTAAAAAGATCGTGCACAAATAACTTTACATTCACCAACACTTAGAAGAAGCAGTATTCCAACTTTCAAGGTGTTATCTGCTAGAGTAAAGGTTAAACACGTAAGAATTACCACAAAACATATCTAAAGAACCATGGAGTGTCTAGTAGCAGTTACTGGACCAAAGGTCACGCAAAAATATACTTGGTTGACAAAAAAGCACAAGATGCGCCAGTAAGGCTCCGGTATTAAACAACAAAGGAAGAAACAGACTTTACACTACCTAATGCAATAAAGAGAGAGACAAAAGATAACAAGGCTCAAATTTGTGCAAAAAAACATTTCAAAAAGCTAGCATTTACACTACCTAATGCACTGACAAGAAAAAAAAGAAAAGAGGAATTTACAAGACCAATGGAAGTAATCAGAACAAAACTGATGATGGTGATGAAAATTATGGGTGTCAATATTTGACCCGACCCGAAACCCGATCTGAAAAATGTTTGACATATGGGTCGAGTTCGGGTCCAGCAAGTCAACCCGTTTCAAAAACCGGTTGACCGGTTTAGAAACTGCGCCTAGGGCTAGGTTTGTTCCGACTTCCGAGTCAGCTTGTTCGCAAATCGCAAGCTTCTCCCAGCCGTCTACCAGGCCGAGGCGCCACCCCACAGGTCCACAGCGCACGCGACTTGGAATCCGCCCGGCACATCCGTTTTCCCTCCGTCATCTGCTCAGTGCTCACACAACTCGTCCGCCCTCCGACTAGCAAGACCACATCCATCCTCGTCGAGACGCAGTTGCTCGCGAGCATGTATGCGCCTCCCGGTTTATCCACTCCTCCGACGTCCACACACCCTAAACTCCGTCCTCACAGCTCCTCCGACATTTGCAGTCTGCACAGGTGCACAACTCGTCCCCGGGTTAGTGGGTCGGGTCGGGTAAACCTGGTAACACACGTTGGGGGTCTGGGTAAAGTTGGTAACCCGCGCGGGTCGAGTTTGGGTTGGATTTCCTGACCATTTGCAAAAATGGGTCGAATTAGGGTCAACCCATTTAGATCCGAGTTAATCCGGGTTCAACCCGAACCCAACCCACAGACCCGTTTTGACACCCCTAATGAAGATGTCTTTGCTTTGCTTATGAAGCATGGACTTAAAAATCGTAACATTCTAATATTTTCAAAATGACAAAGGTAAAATAAACAATAAGTTTTTGAAGTTAATCAAATATTAGACAGTTTAAAACCCATGCATTGAATTGAACACTGAAATCAGCACAGACAAAGAACAGAACCTCATCAAATCTAGTTAGCTATCAACCGGTCTACTACAACGTTTAGTAATGAATTACCAACATAATGCAATGGAGCCATAGGCAGAGAGGCCTCAGGTGAGCCAAGTCCAAGTCAAATTTGCATAGTGGATGCGTGTCTCTGTGGTCCATAAACCATTGCTTGTGCGCCTAAAAACTCAAGAAATCAGGAGGGTTAAATACTGCCAATGCCTGCAGTTTGTGACAAAATGGATACTGGTTTGAATCCTGACCAATATGCCATATTACCATCCTGACCAATATGCCATATTACCACAAGAGTTATGTAGTGAGGTCGTGGGTCTACAGAAAAAGCCGAGGGGCATAACCAAGTCACTTTTCAAAAACCCATGGGCTTTGCGTATGATGAACACAATCTATAACAACTTTCATTACACCCTTCGTATCATCTTCAGCTTCTAGTCTAGTTTGGTTGGCATCAATAAACAACAACAACAACAACAACATCAAGCCTTTGTCCCACTACATGGGGTCGGCTACATGAATCTTTTTTCTCCATTGAGTCCTGGTAAAAGTCAAATTTTCGTTTAAATCTAACAAAGAAAGATCATTTCTAATATTTTCTAACCAAGTCTTTTTAGGTCTACCTCTACCTTTCTTAACATAAGTCAAATCTAATACCTCTACTTTCCTAACCGGGTTATCAATATTCTTGCAAAATTATACCCAAGCAAGAACAAGTCATTACAAAATTTCTAAATTGACTCTTATCAACTAGCTTCATTTATGGATCATCAACAAATCCATTAGGAATAATAATCAGATCCACTCAAAAGACATACTCCACAAAAGCAAGACATACTCCACAAAACCCAACCTTGCTGAACCTAATCAAGATAATCATTCAGATTTAAGAGGAACTATGCAAAACCTGGGCATGAAGGATGAAGTACTGCTATCTGGTTCAGCTATACTTGAAATAAGATTGTAAAAGAATGCAAATTTTACCTTGGAATTAGATTCCTGGTATGATTTGGAAACATATCAATACAGTGCAGCAAAATTTTCTTTCTTATGAAAATATTTTCCTGAACATAATTCTATTTATTATTCACTTGCTCATTTTTTCCATCAGAAAAACAATTTCATAAATGAGAACCATAGAAAGGGATGACTTTAATAACTATCCACGACAGAATATGTTAAAATTAAAAGGTCCCCAAATATTTTATTTTAAAAGGAAATAAAAGCAAATGGTAAGACGTGAATTTCCACCACCGGCTAAAGTCTCCAACCTTTAAAAACTTTGGGAACATAATCTCCCTGACTTGAACATTGTTAAAAGAACATTACAATCAATAGAAGTGTGATCATTAGATAATTAAAAAAACGTTAGGTAAACAATATTAATTTATTTACAAACAGAAAAGACAGTTCTTTTTCAATATGCAAGAAAGTTCAACACAATTTTTCTACCATATAAGTAATGCCTAAAAGCTTGAAATTCATTTTGAAACTGAAATCATAACTCTTCAATAAAAATGGAAATGCCTACGGAATCAAGAAGCAAACCCCTATAATAATTTCAATACAGATATCTACATAACAAAAACATACAACTTATGAAGCGTGATACTATGAAACATATCATCTCCATAAATTTTCTCAAAAGCACAAAAACATACATAGATCATTCCAATCTGTCAAGAAAACTTCTGAAAGGATGATGAAAGAGCATACTCATAAATGTTGGAGGAAAAAATTAAAGATGATCAAACAGAATCTAGAGTCATACCTTGTTGAAAAGAATATCTCGGCTGTTAATGTGCATGATACCATCCTTGAGAGCGCATTTCCACTTGTTCTTTGTCCGTGTCACCTGTTCCAGATTGCCATGAACATATTTTTGCTAAGAATAGAAACCAACTTCTTTTTTCTAATTCAAGTCAGGAGCCAAATCAAATACCTTGTCAAACTGGGCTAAAACTAAATGTTGTGTGTTTGTCTCTTCCTCTCCCTGATCAAAATCATCCAGATCATCCTCATCATCATCATCTTCATTTAATGGAGGCTCATCATCCTCTGCGGCTTCATTTTTGGTAGGCTTTGGAGTACCAACTAATGGGGTAGGTGCTCGTAGATCTACTATCAAAAAAGATGTAGTCCCATAAAAACCCAACGCCTCTAATGCAACAACAATGTAAAATACAACAAGTATGCAGTAATGACAACAAATATACCATGCTCTGCAGGTGTGGGAGTGTTGTAATCTTCATTTGTAACTTCTTGGAAATGGAACAACTTTAAAGGGTAAAAACATGAGCAGAGTCAGGAAAAAAAAAGGGAGAAGGCATTATAAATAAAATAACCCAAAGATAAGAAATTACTTCATCATATTCATCTTGAGCACCATCTTGCTGAGGAAGCGTTGGAGTTTCCCTTATTAACACATTGGATATAGAGTCAGTTTTGATTTTCCCCCAAACTCCAGTGGATGCAAAGTTGGTTTCCTAAATTCGCAAGACAGTAATATAGGTCATTTTAATACCATAATTGAGACGAAGATAGCAATAGCTTGACAAAGTTATACAAATATCCACAGACACTAACAGTATTCAAAATTTACAGCAGAAATACTCCTTTTGCTCAAGGGAAAGTGAAGCAACCTTCTAAGTTCATTGGTGTGTTTTGTAAATAAATTGTGAGCAAGCTAAGCTTGGGTATAGTTTTAGTAGCTTATAACCACAATACAAAGTCATGTCGTTCTCTTGCTATAGATGTTGATATCACATAAAAAGAACAGAGTTCTACTGGTATGGTCTACAAAGTATAAAGGTTAACAGTTATCCAAAAGATTTAAGCAGAAAGAAACTAAAACCAAAAGTATCTCTCAATAGAATGGGCTCCGCTGCTGCAGCTAATGGCTGATGAACAGTAAGATAATGATCTTGAACCCAACAAAAGAGGAAGCTCAACTGAGCATAAAACATTGGACAATAGTAGAGGTTACCTTGACATGTTTGCATTTAGCTTGCTCATTGGATTGAACAAGTCATCATAATTAGTTGAATGCCTACGCTTTCTACAAAAATATATTATTTTGCAGGACAATAGACTTAAATGCCATTTGCATGTTTTAGCCCATTACAATGTCTTCAGAAGTGGTTCTTTGAAGCAAGTCTGTTGGTCATCTGCTTGTGTTAACTTACTAGCATCTTATTTAATAAGCATATTTACATTAGGCTTCGTTTGGCACAGTTTTCTTACAGCTTTCTATAGCAGCTTTTAGTACAAAACTTTTTTGAAAGCAAAAAAAACAGTGGCCACAAGCATAATCCCAAACGAAGCTTTAATTTACAAATCACAAGTTTTTATGAGCAAAATTTTCTTTTAGATCAAATTAATTGCACAACTGAGCTCGTCTGTTTAGTATTAACTTCTTTGAATTTACTTCAAATTTCAGCTTATGATTGCTGTAACAACTTTATATTTTCTTCAAACTTGTTCTCAGCTCAACATTGGAAGCTGCATAACCAAGTTTTAACCAAATTTAACAGCTTAGCTTAACGTAGAAATAAACTATTACCAATAAAAACGAACTTGCAGCATGATTTGTACAGACTCATCTGCAATATACGGGGAAAAGGAGCATAGAAATACAACAGCAACAACAACAACATCAAGCCTTTATCCCACTACGTGGTCGACTACATGAATCCTTTTTTTCTATTGTGTCCAATTAAGAGTCAAAATGTCATTTAGATCTAATAAACAAAGGTCATTTCTAATTATTTTTAACCAAATCTTTTTAGGTCTGTCCTATCTTTCTTAACCTTGGTTAAATCTAAAAGATCCACTCTCCTAACCGAATCATCAGAAGGCCACTTTTTTGTGACCAAACCATCTAAGGAGACTCTCTCTAATCTTATCTGCCACTGGAGTTGCTCCAACCTTTTCACATATATGCTCATTTTGTATCATGTCTCTAAGAGTAAAGCCACTCATCCACCTAAGCATCCTCATCTCTGCAACACTTAAACAAAATATTATGCTTCTCAATTAATGGCCAACATTCTGCTCCATAAAGCATTGCAGGTCTAACCACCATCTTATAGAATTTTTCCTAAAGTTTGAGTGGTACTTTTCTATCACACAACAAGTCCGATGCATTCCTCCACTTCATCCATCCAACTTGAATTCTACTAATAATATCACCATCTATTTTACCATCACTCTGAACAATAAATCCAAGATATCTAAAGCATGTACTCTTATTAGCGACTTGATCGCTCAAAGTCACAAACCCCCCACTAGATCTATTACTACTAAAATTACACTCCATGTATTCAGTTTTAGATCAACTCAAACGAAAACCTTTATACTCTAAGGTTGACATCCATAATTCAAGTTTACCTTCAACTCCCTCTTTAGTCTTATCAACAAGAAGAATATCGTCAGCAAGAAGCATACACCAAGGAGCATCCTCATACAAATCTCTAATAAGAGCATCCATGACTAAAGATATGGGCTTAAGGCTGATCCTTGATGTAACCAACTAAAATTGGAAAATACTAGGTCAAACCATTTGAGTTTAAACACAAGTAACAACTACAACATACATTTTCCTAATGACTTGAATATAAGCATTATTAATCCTTTTTTTTAGGACTCTCCAAAGCACTTCTCTTGGAACTTTATCATATGTGTTCTCTAAATCAATAAATATCATATGAAGATCTTCCTTTTTCTCTCTATACTTCTCCATCAAACCTCTCAATAAGCGTATGGCTTACATAGTAGACCTACCCCGCATGAATCCAAATTGATTTTGAGAAACAATAGTATCACGTCGTAACCTATGCTCCATAACTCTATCCCATAGTTTTAAAGTATAACACATCAACTTAATTCCTCTATAATTTGCACAATCTTGTGCATCACCTTTATTCTTAAAGATAGGAATCAACACACTCATTCTGCACACATCTGGCATATTTTTAGTTTTCAAAATAATATTAAAAAGTTTAGTAAGCCAAGAAATTCCTTCATCTCTTAAGCATTTCCACACTCTAATGGAATATCATCAAGTCCAACAGTTTTCCCACACTTCATTTTCTTTAAAGCCTCCCTAACTTCAATTTTAATAATACGCCGGTAAAAACAAAAATCTCTATTTTTATTTAGAGTGTTAAGGTCACTAAAGTCAGTAGTACTTTCACATTCTTCAATGAAAAGCTTAGCAAAATATCTCATCCACCTTAGTTGAATATCCTCTTCTAAAAAAAAGTACTTTTTTATCTTCATCCTTAATGCACTTCACTTGAACTAAACCCTTTACTACTCCTATCTCTTTTTTGGCTAACTTATACATATATCTTTCGTCCTATTTAGTATCTAATATATTATATAAATCATTAAAAGCTAAAGTCCTTGCATTGCAAAATGCTTTCTTAGATTTGTTACGGACAACTTTAAATATTTTCTAATTTTTCAGAATTTTTAAATCTAAACCAATCTTTATAGCATAGCTTCTTATTTTTGATATTTCTTAAAATAAAATTTCATTTAACTTTACTACTTGTGCGCTTACAATTTAATCATTTTCACTGTCATTTAATTGATTTGATCTTTAAAATTGCTTCCATTGAGCACTATTTCCAAGCTGAATGAGTTCTTCATGAAATGTTTCAATTCAAAATGTCAAATTATAAGAATGTAAGGGTTCATATTTTGTAAAATGAAAGTAATTATACTTGAAGAATTAATAGTTTTATTCATAGTTCCAATATAATGTTTAGATGAAAACTAAAAACACAACTCATTTAACATATCCATGCCCAACTTCCTTGGAGAGCTTATTTCAAAATTTTATAATCTCAGTAAATTTTTTTTTTGGTAGTTGATGTCTCTAAACATGAAGAAATTGCCCAGCATGAAACTCCCTACCATAATTTGACTATTTTTATTTAATTTCATTCAATTTCTCATTAAAGAATTCCGAGGGATATCTTTCTTGGCTTAACAATCCTATAATACGTACACTAGTTGCATCACAAGAAACCTTAAACATTCCAGTAAAATCAGGTATTTTAAGCTAAGATGCACTTATAATCTCAATTAAATCATCATCAAGAAAATCTCCTTTCTTCAAATAATTGCTAATTGGAGCAAAAACAATACTAAAACACTTAATGAATCGCCTATAAAAATTATTAAAACTCTAAACATCATGCATATTAATAACTTGGGTAAATCATTAATTGCTTTATACTTATCAAAATCAATAGACAATTCTTCCCCACACAGAATAAAAATAATAATTTTTTTCTAATAAAAAGTTGCAATACATGATTCTTCTCCTCTTGAAAGTACTACGTATATTAGCTAATAATCCAAAAGAAATTAGTAATTATTCATACAATCATCTAATTAATCCAAATGATCATCTCATGTCATGGTACAAATTAAATTATCATCAAAATAAACAAATTTTTTTTTTCAAATAAAAATTTGCAGTACATAATTCACTCATCATGATTTTTCTAATTCTCATTTGAAGATAGTCGCTTCTCAGATCCAAGAAAATGATTGCAACATCATTCATCATATCTAGCATATCAACCAAACAAGTTATATGAAACATATATCTCATGAGGATTTTGTTAATGACTCTACTATACGCATATGTATACAACATTTTAAATCTTTCTTATGCATAAATAAAGCTGGTATAGCACAAGTACTCAATATTTCCTCTTAAGTAAATCATTAAGCCATCTTTTAAGCTCAAAATGCACAATTTAATTCATCATATAATCAGGTAGATTAGGTAATGATAGCCCAAGACTAAATCAAAAAAAGATATCCTTAAGTGATGGCAATTCATAACGAAGCTCATTAGGGCAAATATCTTAAAAATCATTCAATACTTATTTAAGATAATAAAGCCACAATCTTATGCATGACACATTAGATCACACCCTCTTGTCAACTTTTGCTTTCAAATGCCTATTAGTTTAGGTTATGCAAAGACTTACTTCATTGGAAGAGCAATAGATTCTTTCTAACTCAAATTTGCTCTTGGACTTTGAATGATTCAAAAGCATCCTTTCCCTATAAATCTTGAAAGCATGCATATTGGACCTTCCAAAATGAATAACATATAAATCATACAACCAACGTCTACCTAAAATAATAAGTAAAGTATCCATGGGAGGCTCATCATGCCAAATTTTATTAGTGTAGGTGGCTAATTTAAAAAAACATAAAACTTTAAGAATACAGAAATAATAATTTGATCTACCTAGATTACAAATTGCTAATATGATTATGAATGTAATTTTAAGTTTCAAATTTATGTGATCTAAGTCAATCTTAAACACGTCATTCATGCAAGTCACAGTATCAACGATAACTTTTTTCATCATATTTTTGAAATTGGTATGAAACTTTGTAATTCTCTTTTAATTTGATTCAGTCTTAGGAGTAGTTATGATGCAACACATAACAT